AGGGTTCATGACAGAAACGGAGACATGAGAGAGGGAAATTTGCATATGGTCTCTGATTGGCCAGCCAGAAAGTTCCAAGATTCTGAGGTGACAAGAGAGGAGAGAAAAAGGCCTTAAGTGTCAGAAAATTACCAATACAGACAAAATTAACTTGCCACACACAGCCCCCATTGACCCACTCTACATCCTACTGCAGTTTGGAAGAGGATGAACCATGGATGATGGGACTTGCAGTACCATCACTCACATTCTGAGACCGCTGTTAACCTCATCCAATGATTGATCAGGACCAAACTTGGCACATAGACCTCTCATGACCTACTTTACGTCCTGGTGTGGTTTGGCTGGGGATGGACCATGGATTATGGGACTTGCAGTACCTTTGCTCAATTCTTGAGACCACTGCAACCCTCATCCAATTACCGATAAAGACCAAACTGGGCACACTGAGTCTCCATGATGCACTCTACATCCTGGTGCAGTTTGGAGGAGGATGCAGCATGGATGATGGTACTTGCAATACCTGCACTCCCTTCCAAAGACCATTACAACTGCCAACAATGATGGATCAGGACCACAATTTACACAGAGAGCCCGCATGACCCACTCTACATCCTGGTGCGGTTTGGAAGAATTTGTCAATGGATGATGGGACTTGCAGTCACTTCACTCACTCCCTGAGACCCTCATCCAATGACTGATCAAGACCAAACTTGGCACACAGAGCCCCATGACCCACTCTACATCCTGGTGCAGTTTGGAGGAGGATGGACATGGATGATGGGACTTCAAGTACCTCCACTCCCTTCCCAAGATGGCTGTAACCCTCATCTAATGTCCGATCAAGACCAAACTTGGCACACAGAGCCCCCATGACCCTATCTACATCCTGTTTCAGTTTGGAGGAGGGTGGATCATGGATGATGGGACTTGCAGTACCTTCACTAACTTACTGAAACCACTGCGACCCTAATCCAATGACTGATCAAGACCAAACTTAGCACACAGAGCCCCCATGACCCACTCTACATCCTGCTGCAGCTTAAAGGAGGATGGACTTTGGATGATGGGACTTGCAGTACCTTCACTCACTTCCTGAAAACAACACAACAGTCATCAAATGACCAATAAAGACCAAACTTGGCATACAGAACCGCCATTACCCACTTTCTCAAATAACCCGGGCAGCGCCGGGTCCCTAAGCTAGTATATAATAAAAGTCAAAGTTTGTATGCGACGTAGGGCAGAGGTAGGTAGGACGTAGGGCGGACGTGTTTGGCAGCTTTCTGATTGGCTGCCGCTGTGGTGCTATTTGCATATGGTCTCTGATTGGCCAGCTTCAATAGGAGCCCCTGGTGGAGAAGAGGGTTCATGGCAGAAACGGGGCATGACAGAAGGAAATTTGCATATGGTCTCTGATTGGCCAGCCTCAAATCCAACATTCCGAGATGAGAAAGAGAGGAAAGGAAAGGCCGGGGGCTGGGTCAGAACACTCCCAATACAGACCGAAATAGGCACACAGAGCCCCCATCACCCACTCTACATCCTACTGCAGTTTGGAGGAGTATGAACCATGGATGATGGGACTTGCAGTACCACCACTCACATTCTGAGACCGCTGTTAACCTTATCCAATGACTGATCAGGACCAAACTTCGCACATAGACCTCTCATGACCCACTTTACGTCCTGGTGTGGTTTGGCCGGGGATGGACCGTGGATTATGGGACTTGCAGTACCATTGCTCAATTCTTCAGACCACTGCAACCCTCATCCAATTACCAATAAATACCAAACTTGGCACACTGAGTCTCCATGACGCACTCTACATCCAGGTGCAGTTTGAAGGAGGATGCACCATGGACGATGGGACTTGCAATACCTGCACTCCCTTCCTAAAACCATTACAACTGCCAACAATGATGGATCAGGACCACAATTTACACAGAGACCCAGCATGACCCACTCTACATCCTGGTGCGGTTTGGAAGAATTTGACAATGGATGATGGGACTTGCAGTCACTTCACTCACTTCCTGAGACCACTGAGACCCTCCCCAATGACTGATCAAGACCAAACTTGGCACATGGAGCTTCGACCCACTCTACATCCTGGACAGACCATGGATGATGGGACTTCAAGTACCTCCACTACCCAAGACTGCTGCAAAACTCATCTAATGACCAATCAAGACCAAAGTTGCCACACAGAGCCCCCATGACCCACTCTACATCCTGCTGCAGTTTTGGAGAAGGGTGGACCATGGATGATGGAACTTCCAGTACCTTCACTCACATTCTGAGACCTCTGCAAACCTCATCCAATGACAGATCAAGACCAAACTTGGCACATAGACCTCTCATGACCCACGTTACGTCCTGGTGTTGTTTGGAAAACTTTGGAGGTGGATGATGGGACTTGCAGTACCTTTGCTCACTTCCTGAGACCACTGAGACCCTCGCCAATGACTAATCAAGACTAAACTTGGCACATGGAGCTCCAATGACCCACTCTATGTCGTTCTGCAGTTTGGAGGAGGACAGATCATGGATGATGGGACTTCAAGTACCTCCACTCCCTTCGAAGATTGCTGCAACCCTCTTCTAATGACCAATCAAGATCACACTTGGCACACAGAGCCGCCATGATCCACTCTACATCCTGCTGCAGTTTGAAAGGGGATGGACTTTGGATGATGGGACTTGCAGTACCTTCACTCACTTACTGACACCACTTCCACCCTCATCTAATGACTGATAAAGACCAAACTTGGCACACAGAGCCCCCATGACCCAATCTATATCCTGCTGCTGTTTGTAGGAGGATGGCCCATGGATGATGGGACTTCAAGTACCTTTACTCACTTCCTGAAAATAATGCTGCCATTATCCAAAGACCAAACTTGGCATACAGAACCGCCATTACCCACTTTCTCTAATAACCCGGGCAACGCCGGGTCCCCAAGCTAGTATATAATAAAAGTCAAAGTTTGTATGCGACGTAGGGCAGAGGTAGGTAGGATGTAGGGCGGACGTGTTTGGCAGCTTTCTGATTGGCTGCCACTGTGGTGCTATTTGCATATGGTCTCTGATTGGCCAGCCTCAACAGGACCCCCCTGGTGGAGAAAAAGGTTAATGAGAGAAACGGGGACATGACAGAGGGAAATTTGCATATGGTCTCTGGCCAGCCTCAATTCCAAGATTCCGAGAGGACAAAGAGATGAAAGGAAAAGGCCAGATGCTGTGTCAGAAAACTACCAATAAAGACCAAACTTGGACCACAGAGCCCCCATGACCCACTCTACAGCCTACTGCAGTTTGGAGGAGGATGGACCATGGATGATGGGACTTCCAGTCCCATCACTCACTTTCTGAGACTGCTGTTGACCACATCCAATGACTGATCTAGACCAAACTTGGCACATAGACCTCTCATGACCTACTTTACGTCCTGGTGTGGTTTGGCCGGGGATGTATCATGGATTATGGCACTTGCAGTACCTTTGCTCAATTACTGAGACCACTGCAACCCACATCCAATTACCGATAAAGACCAAACTTGGCACACTGAGTCTCCATGATGCACTCTACATCCTGGTGCAGTTTGGAGGAGGATGCAGCATGGACGATGGGACTTGCAATACCTGCACTCCCTTCCTAAGACCATTACAACTGCCAACAATGATGGATCAGGACCACAATTTACACAGAGAGCCCACATGACCCACTCTACATCCTGGTGCGGTTTGGAAGAATTTGACAATGGATGATGGGACTTGCAGTCACTTCACTCACTTCCTGAGACCACTGAGACCCTCGCCAATGACTGATCAAGACCAAACTTGGCACACAGAGCCCCCATGACCCACTCTATATCCTGCTGCTGTTTGGAGGCGGGTGGACCATGGATGATGGGACTTCAAGTACCTTCACTCACTTACTGAAACCACTGAGACCCTCACCAATGAATAAACAGGACCAAACTTGGCACACGGGGCCCCAATGACCCACTCTACATCCTGGTGCAGTTTGGAGGAGGACAGACCATGGATGATGAGAGTTCAAGTACCTCCACTCCCTTCCCAAGATTGCTGCAACCCTCATCTAATGACCAATCAAGACCAAACTTGACACACAGAGCCACCATGACCCACTCTATATCCTGTTTCAGTTTGGAGGAGGGTGGATCATGGATGATGGGACTTGCAGTACCTTCACTCACTTACTGAAACCACTGCAACCCTAATACAGTGACTGATCAAGACCAAACTTAGCACACAGAGCCCCCATGAATCACTCTACATCCTGCTGCAGTTTGAAGGAGGAAGGACTTTGGATGATGGGACTTGCAGTACCTTCACTCACTTCCTGAAAACAATGCAGCCGTTATCCAATGACCAACAAAGACTAAACTTGGCATAGAGAACCGCCATTACCCTTTTTCTCTAATAACCCGGGCAGCGCCGGGTCCCCAAGCTAGTATATAAATAAAAATGTAATGTTCATTTGTGGGATTAACAGAACTAAAAAACCACTGGACAAATTGACACCAAATTTGGACAAAGGACACCTAACAGCCCCCAAAAAAATGATTTTGCCATTTGGGAGTTGTTGTTTCTGGGATTTATAGTTCACCTACAAGGAACATTCTGAACCCTACCAACGATGGAATTGAACCAAACTTGGCACACAGTTCTCCCATGAGCAACAGAAAATACTTGGAAGGGTTTGGTGGGCAGTGTCCTTTGCTTTTGGAGTTGTAGTTCACCTACATCCAGAGATCACTGTGGACTCAAGCAATGATGGGTCTGGACCAAACTCTACAAGAATAAGATTCTCCCCAGAGGTGGGCTTCAACCTGGGAGGGAGGGAGAGAGGGACGGCGCGCGGGCCGAAGGGGGTGTTGCCTGCGTCATCGGACAGCCCCGAGGAGTCTCCCTCCTGCCCACGAATGCAAAAGCGGCGCGCGCCCAAGCGCAGGGGCGAGATGCCCGCTGGAGCCTCCGCCGCCGCTGCCGCCCTCCCGCCCAGATGTTGCACTGGAATGAGGAAGCGGGCTGGCGAGGGGAGGGGCTGCGCGCGGAGCTGCCTGCCGGCGCTTGGCCAGGAGCCGCGGCGCGAGCCGCACATGGAGCAGCGGCTACAACAGCAGCAGCAGCAGCCGCCGCCGAGCTTTGGGCCACTTGCCTGCAGACTACAGGTAGCGTATGCGCGCGCCCAAGCCTCCAAGAGTGTCCTCGCGCCAAGCGCTTCCGGCTCTTTCCCAGTCCTCGCTGACACCTGTTGCAGCGCTCTTCTTCTCCAGCCAACTTGAGGCAGTCAGGCAAAGTTTGGGTAAGGCGGGAGAGAGCGGGAAGCGCGCGCCTTCCAACCAAGGAGCTGAGATCCTCCTGAGTAGAGTTTTCTTCTGTTGCCTCAGCCGTCTTCACAAATCTGTCTGTCTGTCTGTCAAGAAAAGGAAGGGTGTCGCAATGGATACCAAAAAAGACGCTCTACTGAACCAAACTCCCCGTTATTCGCCTCATATGCGTTCTCTTCTGAAGGGAGCGCGTTTTGGCGCGCGTTTGTCTTCATAAGGAATTGGTCACTTGTAGTCTGTGAGGAAAGTTGGCCCACAGTCCCTACAAGATTTTTATTTTAGGAGAAGGGGGGAAGAAACTACAAGAAAGTCTTACAGCTCTGGGGTGGGGAATAGGGTAGTGTTTAGCTTTGTGGAGGAAAATTAGAATTGTTTTTTTTTTTTGGGATTGTGTGGAAATATTGTAAGACTTTTTCCTTCTTTTCGAGAAGCAGTCCTTTTCAAACACTGGATTTTATTTATTTACTAGCCGTCCCCTGCCATGCCATTTTATTTATTTACTAGCCGTCCCCTGCCATGCTGTGGCCCACATGGGGGTTCTGTGTGGGAGGTTTGGACCAATTCTATCATTGGTGGGATTCAGAATGCTCTGTGATTGTAGGTGAACTATAAATCCCAGCTGTTGTTGTTCATTCGTTCAGTCGTCTCCGACTCTTCGTGACCTCATGGACCAGCGCACGCCAGAGCTCCCTGTCGGTCGTCACCACCCCCAGCTCCTGGACTGACCTTGAAGGAGCTGGGGGTGGTGACGGCCAACAGGGAGCTCTGGTGTGGGCTGGTCCATGAGGTCACGAAGAGTCGGAGACGACTGAACGAATGAACAACAACAACATAAATCCCAGCAACTACAACTCCCAAATGTCAAGATTCTATTTTCCCCAAACTCCACCAGTGTTCATATGTGGGCATATTGAGTATTTGTGTAGAGTTTGGTCCAGATCCATCATTGTTTGAGTCCACAGTGATCTCTGGATGTAGGTGAACTACAACTCCAAAACCAAAGGACACTGCCCAGTATTTTCTGTTGGTCGCGGGAGAACTGTGTGCCAAGTTTGGTTCAATTTCATCGTTGGTGGGGTTCAGAATGCTCTTTGATTGTAGGTGAACTAGAAATCCCAGAAACTACAACTTCCAAATGACAAAATCAATTTTTTGAGTGAAGAACATACATTGGGTTGTTAGGTGTATCGTGTCCAAATTTGGTGTCAATTTGTCCAGTGGTTTTTGAGTTCTGTTAATCCCACAAACGAACATTACATTTTTATTTACATAGATTTTATTTATTTATTTACAGCATTTATATGCCGCCCTTCTCACCCCGAAAGGGACTCAGAGTGGCTTACAAGATATATATACACACACACACACACACACACACACACACACACACACAGAATATATTATATTATTAGCATATATTATACAAGTGGGTTGCACACAAATGAAACCAGTTTGGAAAAAAAAGTCAAAACATAGCTTTGGGGATTGCAAGGTGTTTTTTTATTTTGTTTTTTCAGGGAAAAGGGACTCCTCCTGAGGGGCCTTCTCAAAAAGTCAGCTGGAGAAAAAGCAATTTCTAAAGGACAGCCATGTTAGCTACTTGGATCAATACCTTGTGACTCTCCAAAGTCTAACAAACTTTCCTTGGTTCTATAATATTGCTGGCAAAGACCTGTTATTTTACATGGAATTGAATCTACTGAAGCTCATCTCACATGCTTTGCTTCAGGGGCCCTTCCACACAGTCACATAATCCAGAATATCAAGGCAGAAAATCCCACAATATCTGCTTTATTTATTTATTATATTTCTATACTGCCATTCTCAGTCCGAGGGCAACTCATGGCAGTTTACAAAACGGCATGATTCAATGCCACAATAATATAAAAACAGTTCAAAGCATATATATATAATTCCATAATGATAAAATCAATAAAAGCATAAGCTTTGAACTGGGTCATCTGAGTCCACACAGCCATATGTTCCAGTTCAAAGTAGATAACGTGGGATTTTATTCAACTATGTGGAAGGGGCCTATGGCTAATGTTCAGAGCCCATGTTTTTAAAAATACTCTTTATCACACAGTTTCACATTTGCCTCCTCAGTCCCACAGAGTTAAGTGGGGTTTTTTTCTCCCTCATACAGATAGGCTTTCAGGCTTCAAAATCTCTAAAGTTAAGCACTGAAGGGTTGTATTAAAGAAATTGTTGAAGTAACAAAAGACTTACAAACCCCATCAGAAAGGAGGTTTTGAGGTAGTTGGTACTAGAAAATTGACATGCAAAATATATTTTGAGAATGTTTTTAGTACTAGGGATTTAAGAGTGTTTCCTTTCTGTTAAAAACTGTTGTAGCTAAAAATTCTCCAGGCAACGTTTCAAGATAAAGATTCCTAAATAACACTAGAAGTTGTTACTGGAATTTAAGAAGTCAAATAAAGTTTCGGATATACGTTTTGAATATAATATTGAAAGATAGAAATGAATGAGGTTTCCATAAGCCGACTGGTGACTGGAAGGCACATACGCACCGAGAGGTGCAGAGCAGGATTGGTTTTTTTGTTTGCAGAATTTCTATCCTATTAATATTACCAATATGATAGTGTTCCTAAGTAAATACCTGTCATGTGCAACTACGTACAATGTATAAAAATCATGTCTGGCCTATGAAATAAGTGCTTGCAATGTTGTATAAACTACTAACCTACTAGAAAGTTGATTCTAAAGTTAAAGCATAGTTGCAATTTTTAAAAGCAGGATTATATCACGCCCCTGACTTCGTATATATTACACCACACAAGCCTACACATCTTTTCTGATAATTACACATGTGGGGGAAATGTCTATTATCTTCCCTGAAAAAAGAATAAGGAAACTTATAGTAGTTGTCAACAAGATAATTGGTAATATGAGCTTTGCTGTACAAAATGGTAAAAACAAGATTAACGTAAGAGCAGTGGAATAATAGCACTTACTTCAGCATAAAGTTTCCCAGAATTGTGCTGTTAGGTAAAAATTGAAAACAGGATTAAGAGCGGAAACCATTTTTATTTGGAGAGATCATGTCTTAAATGTGTGTCATCATCCCAATTTCTTCTTTTTTTGTAGAACTATACATTATTATATTTCTGTCAACCAGGGTATTTGATTTGTACCAATTAATTCACTTAATATGCAATGGCAAAATTAAATCATGTTAAGAAAATTTCAGTTTTACATATCCACATCATAGATATACTCAATAAAAAACCAGATTAGATTAAGCTGTACAACTAGGGATCAAGAGTCACATTGGTAATAATGATTTTTAATATGATCAGGTTTTTGAATGCTTTTTTTAACATGAAAAATCTAGCCAGAACCAAGTATTAACCCTCCTCGAAGTCAGCTGGATTTATTTCTAAGCAAACATAGCTGGAAATGAATGAATGAGACTTTTTCTGATATATACTTGTCTGCATGGGATCAGATTGTGAGTTTATTTAAAGTAAATCTCACAAGTGGTCAAAATGTTTTGGGTGGAAGTTTTGAAAATAAGTTGCATCCTGTCTTCCATTTAGTTTTTTGGGCTGCGTGTTTTCTCAGTGAATAATTTCTTTTGCAAAACAAGCACTAAAAAGCAAATTGAAGCAACTAGTCAAATATCCACAGGTATAAATTTGTTCAATTTTGATTCTTATTATTTAAATTGTATAATAATTAAATGAAAAACTAGGGGGGATTTAAAGGCATTTATTTCCGTCCCAGCACTCAAAATGCTTTGTTTTACAAAGAGAGAAGTTTCTGAAATAGGTACCTGATAACATTTTCATATCCTTGTTAGGTTGAGTATGTATCTCAAAAAGGGAAAAAAACATTTATGTATAATTTAAATAAAACCCATATGTTAAAAAAATAATTTGCAGAGACCAAAGGTTTGATGCTACCATTTCAGAACTGTTTGTCTGATGATACCTAGTTGGAACTTGGAAAAATATTGAGGGGGTGTACAAAAGCTTCAATCTATGTTAATGCAAATGATTAAGGGAAAGTAATAGACATTCTAGATGATATTTCTGCCTGTTTTGCATATAATTGAGTAATGCATATCTCTAGATAAATATCTAGCTTCAGATATTTCACTTTGAAAATAAACGGAATGTTAACTTTTTATGATGAGTAAAACACTAGTTATTTTCATTTTAATTAATTGTTAACTTACAAATGAAAAAGTTCCAACAGAATCCTGTTATTAGATTTTAATTGACATTGATTTTAATTTAGGAAAAATCCCAAAATTCGTTCTTTTTGGGAATGTACCATGCAAATTACTTAAACTGAAGAATGAAATAAATGTAGCAAATGTAAAATAGCTGTCCACTTCCAGTTCCAATCTTATCTTGCACGTTATGGGTTGCAATTATAGCAATATAGCTCATATTTCACTGGCACAGTTCAGTATTTTTAAGACTATCAACTAATTAAATAAATTGATAGACACTTCTCTTAAGTAATCGGATGTATTTAAATAAAACCACATATTGCCCAAACTTTCATGTAGGGATTAAAAAAACCCCTGTAACTTAGAACTAAATAGTACAATTTGTTATTCATAACTGGAAAGAAAGACTGCCTTAGCCATTACCAAATTCCTAATTACTTTATAACACACTAGAAAATAAGCAATCTTGGTCAAATCAGTTAAACTCCTTTGCCATAATTGTGTGATCTTATCACTTCAATTCTTTAATGCTTGTAGACCTTTCTTTGAAACAAAGTATTAGAAACGTAATTTCACATCAAGACAACCTGTGGAAACATTTTGGTTTGAACTAGATTTTGCCTGAGGCTGTTACAAAAAT